ATTTTAATTGTGTCGACGAGGGCGTGCAATATCCCATATTTTAAAACGGTTGGAACAATCATCCAACACATTCATTTCTCTTTTTTTTCTGGCAACCCCCACTAAAGGTAAAGAGAATAACTAAGAAGTCAGCTCAGAAACCAATCTTTGTCTTATTCAGCGATGCTCAAGCAGTCAACTTCAACATCAGCCTTGTCGTCTTCGCACCAACTCCCTTTCCCTTCAACGCTTCCTTCCCCTCCATATAATCAGTATCGCAACCATTACATAACGCATCATCATCGTCCTCCTCCTCCTCCTCTTCCTCCTCCTCCTCCTCCTCCTCCTCCTCCTCCTTCTCCTCCTTTATTTTTCTTTCCCTGTCCATCTTTCTTTCTTTCTTTCTCTCTTTCCATCTTTATTTCCCCCCCTCCTCCTCTCCTTTTATTCCTATCCCCCCCCTTTTATCTGATACCTTAAAGTATGCTATATTGTGATGCACTGAGAACATTCTAGAAAATTCTGTTTGCAGAGCCAGCCAGCGTCACCTGATGGCTAGATTTGAGCGCAGCGACAAGTGCGTCGTGGATCAGCTGTGCCCGGAGCTACGTGACCTAATTGTGGTAGGGAATCAGGGACTGTCGGCGGGCGTCGGGGACGTGGTTCGTCGCATGACCAGAGAGTATCCTTTCCTTTGACAGTCACAGATAGTCTTGTTTTCTTCTTTTTTAAATTAAAAAAAAATAAATTTTTTTTTAGTAGAGGTTTTATGGTGCTCGCAACTGCACAAGGTCTTATGAGCGCCAGAAGATAAGAGGTGTTACAAGAGAGTAACAAACATAAAAAAGAAGAAGGTGTGATAAGGACGATAGATGTTTGATAGGATAGAAGAAGCAAACCACATCAGAGTGCCCGCACACCACCGACTTGTTTTCTTCATCTTAGTAGGGAAGTTTTTAGTTTTAGTAAGAGTTTTACAGCACTTGCAATGCAATAAGGTCATACAAGTGCCGAAGGAAAGTTTGTGTTGAAACGGTGTTAAACATTTGTGACATTTTTTCAAAAGTTTAAGTACTGTTGAAATTGTCCAAGACTTTTTTTCTTTCCCCCTGCTATTTTTGTTTGTCAGTCTTACTCTTTCCGAGCACAAAATGACCATTGTTATTTTGATATGCTTCCCGCCGGGGCAGTGCCACTGACTGAAGTGTCTTTAGGCCATTCCCAAAGGGGGGATATTTCTCGTTCTTATGCACAGTAGAATTGTAAATGGGCTGATTCTACAATGTCATGCTCATAACTGTGCCTGAACTACAACAGGGAACTGCTGCTTTTTCTTTCCTAATCCTTTTTATCGTCACTTTCCTCTACTTCTTTGCATGTTTATCTCACTCTTGTCACCCGCTATTTCCAGGGTGCCAGGAAAGTCGAAACAGGCTTTGTGCTGTTGAGGTTAGAGAGGTTAGCAAAGTAAGCCTGATTCCATGTTAAGATTTCTCTGTCGACATCCACCCCTTGGCGCTCATATGATTGTATGCTGTTATGATCGCCGTAAAAGCTCTACTAAACAAAAAAACCCAAAAAAGTTTGATATGCTTCTCTTTAGGCAAACAAATGTACGAACATATGTGAAAATCCGGTTGTGCTTTTAAAGCAAACAATTATCCCGAAAGCTGTGATTGTGAACTGAATGAATTTGCTATGAAATACTAGGCCAAATTCTTGACTAGGTTGTTGTTGCTGTTGTTGTTGTTGTTGCTGTTGTTGTTGTTGTTATCGATCCAGCAACAGCTGGGCTCTCGCCCTTCTGTCCAATGCTATGTTGTGATAAGTGCAAGTTTGCTGCAGTTGCTGTAATGTTTCATAGAGTGTGTTGTCTATTTTAGGCCTCGGATGGAGAAGGGTAGCTCTGATGTGCAGTGTCAATGCCATGCTCATACTGTGCAGAAACAGCATAGGGGGAACTGCTGCTTTTTCTTTCCTCATCCTTACTATCGTCATCTATCCTCTACTTCTTTTGTATGTTTGTCACTCTCTTGTGAACTGCTATTTCCGGGGTGCCTTAATAGTCGAAGCAGACTTTGTGCTGTTGAAGCTAGAAAGGTGAGCAGAGTAAGTCTGATTCCCAGTTTGGGCTTCTCTGTTGACATCCACCCCTTGGCGCTCATATGATCATATGACCTGATGCAGGTGCGAGCGCCGTAAAACCTTTCTAAAACAAACAGAGAGTCTGTTTTTCAATTTTGAAAAGTTGACAACTATGTACAAGTATTTTTCGTGGGTGGTTCACGGGTGCTCTGGTGTGGTTTGCTCCTTCTTTCCTACCAAACATCTATCGTCCTTATCTCCCCTCCTTCTTTTTTTGTTTGTTACTCTCTTCTAACACCTCTAATCTTCGGCACTTATATGACTTTATTGTGTTGCGAGTGCCGTAAAACCTCTACTAAAACTAAAACTTCTTTTTTGTGTTTGTTACTCTCTTGTAACACCTCTATTCTTCTACACTTATATGTCCTTATTGTGTTGCGAGTGCCGTAAAACTCTTACTAAAACAAAACAAGTGTTTTTCTTGACGTAGCCGAGTGTATCCGGGACGTCTGCAGTGTCAAAGTTCAACCCCCTTGGCGGGCTGATGGACTTGTACCACACAGAGGTCGGCTCACAGACGGCCACGGCGGCCGAAGATCTCACCCCGGGGGCCATTAAAGTACGTAGTGAGTGTTGTGTTTAGTATGCCAGTTTGTGGGTTTTCAGTATTTGTTTGTTATTGGTTCCTACCCAGTTTGTCATAATTAAGAGCAAAATTTCCATCCCGGGGGGTCATTAAAGTACGTAGCAAGTGTTGTGATTTGTGTGCAGGGTTCGTACGGGTCTTGGGAAACTGGAAAACTCTTTGTGGAATTTTGCTTTTATTTTCCAAGACATGAAAAACTCTTGGAATTTTGGGAAATTGGCAAAATTCTTGGAAAAAGTGTTGGTTTTAGAGTAAACCTCACCAGAGCACCCACCAACCACCCACTCACGTCGTGTACTGTGCGTGTCTCTTCTGCCAGGCTTCGGTGGACCTGCTGGGAATGTTCCTCTCGGGGCTCATGTGCAGAGTCGCCCTGTGCTACCATCAGGACAGTCTGGAAGAAGGTAACAGCCAAAGTTGTGTATTGTCGAATACGGTACAGTCAAAACTGGAAGACGACCACCCTTTGGCGACCTCAGTGTTTTATTGTCGTATCCCCTTTTTTATACCCTATCCGTATGTCTTGTTTTACTATCGTATCCATGCGACGTGGGGAACTCTGTGCCACAACGTTCAAAGAGGAAATTTACTCATTAACCGATCCGTACGCTTTGCATATGAGTCTGTCAAAATGATTTTTTGAGAAATACTGAAAGTTTCAAAGAGATCTTCGTACAAGAAGTATTCTAAAATGTGAAGAATGCAACCTCACGGGTACAAAATGACCCCAGGGCGTACAAATGGGGTTAAACAATGAAAAGGGGGCCTCTCGTGGCCTAGAGGTTAAGGTGTTGGCTTCTCCTTCAAAGGTCCTGGGTTTGAATCTGGATAGCGACGGAAATTTTTTTTTCTCTAAACTTGTCTCCTTTTACCTCCTTTCCTGCTCTCTAGCAATATTCTGTCGTCTGCTTTCGTCTCCTCTTTCTGCACCCACCCCTTCATCTCCTTTGCCCCCTACTCTGGGCTCCAGACTTTTTCTGCAGCCTTTGTATTGCTACTCGTTTGCTCCTTCTAACTGCTGTCTTTCAGCCACACCCCTGATCTTCTGGTAGGTAAGACAGAAGAAGACGCCACTAGTTTTTCTATCCCCTGTAGTGTTCAATTTTTAAAAATGACACCCTCACCCCAGGGGGCAGTGCTACTGACTGAAGTGTCTTTAGGCTATTCCCAAAGGGGGGACCTTTCTTGTTCTAATGCACAGTAGAATTGTAAATGGGCTGATCCAATAATGTCATGCTCATAACTGTGCCTGAACTACAATAGGGAACTACTGCTTTTTCTTTCCTAACCCATACTATCGTCATTTTCCTCTACTTCTTTTGTGTGTTTGTCACTCTCTTGTGACCTGCTATTTTCGGGGTGCTTTGATAGTCGAAGCAGACTTTGTGTTGTTGAAGCTAGAGAGGTGAGTAGAGTAAGCCTGATTCCCTGTAAGGACTTCTCTGTTGACATCCACCCCTTGGTGACCTTATGCAGTTGCGAGCGCTGTAAAACCTCTACTAAATCTGTTATGATCAGCAAACTTGAGTTTCAAATAGAAACACAGGAGTCTCATCTTGGGTCAAACATAACTGATCAATATATTTATGATCAATATGTAAAAGGATCAATATCTACACATCAGGTTAGATTATTTCCATGTTACAGAATACATGCCTTCATTAATAATTGACACTCACACGTCTCAGTCATTCTCACATAGAATAATACAACACCAGCCTAATTGTTGGCAAAGATATAAAGTACAAACATGACATATTATGATAATGAAAGTGACATAATAAACAAACATGGAATTGTTTCTATAAAGGGGAACAACTTAATAGCCAATGTCCTGCTAAGGGAATGAACTATGAGCGGGTCTAATTATTTCCCCTACTTAACAAAAACTAAACTATCCTCAGATTCTTTCAACCCGTTCGCTGTGACGGTGGAGCCGGTGAAAAGTCTGCTGCCGGTCGTGGACTCGCTCAAATCTTCTCTCGCCTCCTGCTACTCTCTGCTCCGCGCCGTGCACAATCCAGGCCCCGGCGTCCAGTTGTCGGACGACGGACAGCTGAAGGAGGAGGAAGAAGAAGACAGAAGGAGTGAGAAGAAGAAGAAGAAGCAGCCGGCAAGCCAGGTGGAGAGTCTGTACACCTGCGTCCACAGCCTTGACCTACATCTGCAGTCCGTCCTTCAGATGTAAGAGCTGTCACTTCATACCTTTTTGGGGGGCTCCAGTGGCTAAGTGAGCTGTGAGTTCAGACTCAAGTAATGTCCAGCAAGTGTCGGTGACACGGAATGCTTTCAGGTCTGCTAATAGAATAGATTGTGCAGTGCATAGAATTTGCTGTTGAGTGGGGATTTGCGCTATACAAATACTATCTATTATTATTATTGTTTGTTATTATCATCATCATTATTATTATTATTATTATTATTATTAGTACAACTAACTCGGGGATGTATTATTATTATTATAAGTAGTACAACGAATCCTTGGACTTCCTGTGTGTTTAGCACTAGGTAGCTGACTGTGACTCTGAATATTATTACGACTACAGTAGTCTCCGCCTAAGATCCTGATGCTCGGGAGCAAGGAAATGCGGGATCTTAGGCGAACCGGGATCTTAACCGATGAACCCGGGGAAGAATCTATGGTGACCCATGTTAAGGCTCACAATCGGTAAAATGGTCTCCCTCCACTCTAAAATGAACTGACGTGACCCCTTGGTGGGTTTATGACGTATGGCGTGCAAAGAGTGGTTAACCTTGATGACCTATCACGGTGCACAGTGACATGAGGCGTGCCATTTTCACTTATTATCCTATCTTGAGTCTCAAGATCTACGCTTATCCAGTTGCCCCTCCCCTTTACCTGTCGAAAATTTATAGTTTTCCATCTCTGACGGAGTCCCCCACCCCCCCCCCCCCACCCCCAACCGCCTTTGTCATTACACACCATTACGTTGTGAACACACCAATTAAAATTCAGTCTGTCTCCAAATTCGGGAGTAGAGACAACTTCTGCAATGGTCAGGGAAGAGTTCACAGTTCAATGTGATCCCACCTGGAGCGAACATGTAGGCCTTACCCATCCAGCGAGTGATGTAAGTTTAGGGGGAGAGCTCAGGTGTTAGTGTGATGTTCGGGGAAAACAAACGTGTCGGTCAGTTCACACCCCGGTGTGATCCCTTCGGGGGGGCAAACATTGTATCGCTTCATCGAGTTTTACAACGTGTATGTGATCACATTCACGATAGTGGCTGATCTTTGACGCGACGGACAGTTTATTGATCTCAACTTTTCACTCTTGGTTGATCGGCTGTCCCACCCGGGTTTTTGTTCCGCAAATTATGATCTGAAATGCGGGATCTTAGCCGAATGTAGACCTTCAGAGAAAATCAGAGCGGGATCTTAGGGGTGACTTTTGTATAGTAAAAATTCTGTTTTCTTAAAACAGCGGGATCTTAAGCGAACCGGGATCGTAAGAGGTGGGATCTTAGGCGGAGACTACTGTATTATTATTATCATTATTATTATTATTATTAATATTATTATTATTATTATTATTATTAAAACTATTATATAACAATAATGATAATAATAATAATAATAGTAATAATAATTTTTATTGTTGTTGTTTGTTATTATTATTAATTTGATTATTATATTATTATAATTATAATAATAATAATTATTATCATTCTCATTATTCTTCCTGTGTGTTTAGCACTAGAGAGCTGACTGTGGCACTGGAGGGGAAGCTAGAGTCTCAAGTGAGCTCTACGGGTACGAGCGACGGTCAGAGGAAGATGGACGTGAACGTGGGTGTGCCCCCGCCCGTCATCGGCAGAGAGGAGGCGGAGTCGTGGGAGGACGTCCTGCGACAGGTCAAGGTCGGACTGGACTCGTGTCTGGAGTGTCACCAGGAGAGTGTGAGGAGGCTGCAGCAGAAGGAGGACAAGGGTAAGAAATGGAGTCTTTAGTTTTTTTGATTTAGTAGAGGTTTTTACGGCGCTCGCAACTACATAAGGTCATATGAGCGCAAAGGGGTGGTTTAGTTTAGTTTAAGAAGAGGTTTTTACGGCGCTCGCAACTACATAAGGTCATATGAGCGCATAGGGGTGGTTTAGTTTAGTTTAAGAAGAGGTTTTTACGGCGCTCGCAACTACATAAGGTCATATGAGCGCCAAGGGGTGGTTTAGTTTAGTTTAAGAAGAGGTTTTATGGTGCTTGCAACTGCAAAAGGTCATATGAGTGCTGAAGATTTAGTTTTAGTAAGGTTTTACGGCGCTCGCAACTGCATAAGGTCATATGAGTGCATGGGTGGTTTAGTTAGTTTAGTTTTAGTAAAAGTTTTACGGCGCTCGCAGCCACATAAGGTTATATGAGTGCCAATGGGTGGATGTCATCAGAGAAGTCTGAACGGGGAATCAGGGTTTTTGGCGGGTGCTCTGGTGTGGTTTTCTCCTTCTTTTCTATCAAACATCTATTGTCCTTATCTCCCCTCCTTCTTTTTTATGTTTGTTACTCTCTTGTAATACCTCTAATCTTCTGGCGCTCATATGATCTCATTGTGTTGCAAGTGCCACAAAACACTTACTCAAACTATCTGTGTTGTTGGAGTCCAGTGTGTTGTGTTCTTCGTCCAAAGATGATCACTTGCAGTGTTTGATTTGCCTGTCTCCCCAGCTGCGACGACGCCCGGTGTGGTGACGGTGAAAGCAGTGTCCCCAGCCACAGCCCAGCAGCCTGCTGTCCCGCCCGTGCACATCCCAAGTGAAGATCCTGTCATTGAGGACGAGGTAGATATGACCAAAGATTGAACGTAACAAGATAGTTCACTCCTCTCTTTGAGCCAATTAAAAAAGTGTCCTCAAAATCCGGTGTCGCCCTCTTTGAAAAAGCGCGGACTTTGCGAACAGTTACCCTACTTGTGTAAAAAACAATAAAAGCGAAACGAACAAACTGTGCTATTCCTATTCTTCTCGTGGAGAAACGAAAGAGAGCTTCAAAATAAAGACTGCAGCGTCATCTGAAGCAATGCGCTGACTTCCACGGACAATTTTTTGGCTGAGTGAATTATCTTGTTATGTACTGTCTTTCGTATGAATGATGGGGAGATATCATGACTGGGAATAAAATTTTTGCATCAGTGTTGTAATCAATTAATTTGAACTCCTTCTCAGGCGAGCCATTCCCGGCAGCTCGTTGTCGGAACTGCTCTGCTGTACCAAGGCAGAGCGACGTATCTGCACTTTTTATGATTTTTGAGTTACATCGCATTGCCTTTGGAAATATGGGCTTGGCCCTTCAGTTACGTCTGTTTACCGTAGTGAAATATCCTATTTATAGTGCAGATATGTCTTCCTGCCTTAGACACAAGGTGCAGAATGGGTATAGGCGTCCATTTAAACGAAGATGCAAAAATGTTGTGCAGATACGTCGGTCACCCTATCGCAATATGCCGAAGGCCCAGGAAGTTGTCTCACTAACAAGGCAATCCCCAGTGTCTGGATCGGATGCGGGAACAACTTTACTTTTACATTGGTCTGCCTTTGGCACGGCAGTGCTGTGCTAGTGAGCTGCTAGCAGCGGCTCAGACACATTCAGTTACGACGACTTCGGCGTTAAATTAGTTCTCTGCACTTGCAGAAACAAACAGATCTCTTTTACCTGGAATTCTTTCAGGAGATGAACAGCTAACAAAACAGGTTCATTTACTTTGATTTACTCACCTGCTAGGTGATGTATATATATGTCACCTTTAGATTTTGTACCAAAAGAGTGCCATGGCATGGTGAGTTTACCCCCCCCCCCCAGAGATAAAGGGTTTATGTAAGTGGTTCTACTTTTTCCCTGTTATACGAAATGACCGTTATTGTTTCTTTTCGCTTCTTTTTACTTAAAACTGAAAACCTGTCTGTTTAACCCTATCTGTATGTCGTGTTTTACTTTCGTATCCATATGACGCGGGGAACTCTGTGCCACCACTTTCCAAAGAGGAAGTTTACTCGTTAATCTGATCCGTATGCTTTGCATAGCAGTCTGTCAAAATGATTTTCGAGAAATACTGAAAGTTTCGAAGAGATCTTTGTACTTGAAGTATTCTAAAATGTGTAGAATCCAACACCGGGGGTACAAAATGACCCCAGGGCGTACGGATAGGGTTAAGGTTGGTAGGTTTGAATGCTCTAATTAGTGTTGATGGTGGCGTAAAGCTTCTCTAATGAGAGTTACATGTTATGTGCATGGGTCTCAATATTCCGCTATTTAGCCGATTTCCGCTACCGCCATTTCCTCCGCTAAACCACCACTTTCTGTACATAATCAAGATTGTAAGTATTTGGTAAGTGATTCTTTTACTTGAAATTATCTTCCAAACCCTCAAATTAGTATGAAATAACCTTGCTTTGATAAATTGGTGGTTTTTTATTTCAGTATTCTGGGTTTAAATAGTATAATATTAATAATGAGTGTCTTGCGAAAATGGTCGTCTGTCGCGATCATGCGGAAAGTTCCTCCTTTTTAAAAATTCTGAGATTCGAGTTGACACCCATGTATGTGTTTGTCTTCCTGTTATCAGGTTTTTGAAGGAGTCACAGATTGTGGTGAGGAGAGTCGAGACTCAGGACCTGCCAGATATACAGATGAGGACAGGGTAAGGAGTGTGGGAGCTGAATGGACTGTCTGTCAGCATCTTTCTACGACTGTCAGCATCTTTCTACAATTCTCTGTCCGCGTCTTTCTACGACTGTATGTCCGCGTCTTTCTATGATTGTCTGTCAGCGTCTTTCTACAATTCTCTGTCCGCGTCTTTCTACGACTGTCTGTCCGTGTCTTTCTACGATTGTCTGTTAGCGTCTTTCTACGACTGTCTGTCAGTGTCTTTCTACAATTCTCTGTCAGTGTCTTTCTACAATTCTCTGTCCGCGTCTTTCTGCGATTCTCTGTCTGCGTCTTTCTACAATTCCGTCCCCGCGGTTTTAGGCAAAAAAATTCTGAATTTATGCAAAATGAGCCCAAAAATGTGAAATTATGCGATTCTGTTAATTTTAACAAAGAATGATAAAGGAAAATAATCAGAAATTATGCAAAAAATGATCAAATTTTGCTAAATTATGCGGGGTTCATGAAACCACGGGGACAGACGATTGCCTGTCAGTTTGTGAGGTGCGGATGGTTGGCGGGTACTCTGGTGTTGTTTGCTCCTTCTTTCCTATCAAACATCTGTCTACTCCTTCTTTTTTATGTTTGTTACTCTCTTGTAACACCTCTAATCTTCGGCTCTTATATGACCTTTTTGTGTTGCAAGTGCCATAAAACTCTTACCAAAAAAACCCAACTAAAAAAGTGCCATAAAACTTGCTTAAACTAAAACTAAAAATGTTTTTCTGCGTTGATTCAAGTGTTTGTTCTTTTTCCTTTCTATCTGCACTGTCAGATTTGTTTACATTATATGTTTGACAAGCTGGGTACCCCGTTTGGTGAACGGACTCAAAAGAATGGATCGTCAAATAAGTGTGGGATCAGTGCCCGCACTTTTTGTGAACGGAAGCCTCACTTGTTTACAATGGTGTCTTAGAAGACGGACTTTTGCAAGTTTAGATGTAAATGAAACTAATGAAAAACTGAAAGTTAACTACAGTGACTTCAGACTCCTCAGTAAAACTGTGCACCCTTTAAATGATTCTGAACCTCCGTTAATTTTTTCAAATTCGAAAGTTAAGTGGTTCCGAAGTTTTAGGCGGCCAAAGTGAAGAGCTTTCACAAATCTATTATCTATTTGTGGTGGCCGAATTTTGCTATTCAAAAGGCTTTTTAATGGCTTCATCGATCGATATGCGGTTTTCGCCAAAAGATTCTTTAAAATATTCTCCAGATCATGACGCCCTTGTTTTTTTCAGTTTTGAGACAGTTTTGCTGCAAAAAGCTAAATTTCTTTATTTCGCCGATCGCTTTTATAGGCCGACGCTTCTGTCTCTGTAATTTTAGAAAATCTGGAAGTGATATTTCGCGAGGCGCATTTTGTTTTGAGAGTATAGATTATAGATCTAGACCTTCTAATTTTTTGCATCTCTCAAGATTTATTGCCCCATTCCAGTAGAGTGTAAATATAGTAGGCCAATGACTTTTAGTTGATATTAAAGCACCGATCATTCCTTTCATGGAAAGGGGGCCCAGCTAGTACAATATATGTCCAGTAGAGTGTAAATATAGTAGGCCAATGACTTTTAGTTGATATTAAAGCACCGATCATTCCTTTCATCGAAAGGGGGCCCAGCTAGTACAATATATGTCCAGTAGAGTGTAAATATAGTAGGCCAATGACTTTTAGTTGATATTAAAGCACCGATCATTGCTTTCATGGAAAGGGCGCCCAGCTAGTACAATATATGTTAGATTGTAAAGTTTCTTCTTTTTCTCTCCCTCAAGGCAAAACTGAAAATGTTCCGTGAGATGGCCAAGAGTCTGCGGAAGGAGCTGGAGACGGTGGTCGGAGAGAAGGCCAAGGAGCAGCAGCTGCGAGAGGAGAGGGCCTTAGCCAGGTTCAGAGGTCGGGAGAAAGCACACGCTCAAGGTCACGACGCTCCCGGCATAGAAGGTCAGAGGTCATCAGACCTCCAAAATGTTGTGTGCAATAACGAGAAGACGGGAGATTTCTATATGTCTTCGTCGGCTTATGGGTCGAGGTTCAAGGAATCTGGGGCAGCGGGAGGGTTGGGAGTGAGTGGTGGAAGCGACGATGATAGTGTCGATAATAGCATTGATGACAGTGATTGCGTTGTTGGTGACGGTGATTGTGCTGATGCGGAACACGGAGAAATGATGAGAGCGGAAGTCGTTGATCGAGTCAGTCAGGGTGCCGAGAGATGTGATGGTGAATCGGGTACACGTCCTTCGCTGAACCCACATTGCAGTGCGGAGTCTGGACAAATTGTGACTGAAAAAGTTTGCAATGGTGAAAAGATACTGGGCGAATCAGCTGATTCGAGGGGTGAAATTTCAGAAAATAATGTTTGTCGCTCGAGTGATGGTGAAAGTTCAACAGGTGTTCAGTCGAGCAAATCTGGTCACGACAATACTGACAGTTCTCTCGTCTTTTTGTCTGCGGTTGACGAAAATGAGGAGGGTGATCTTCTTACTGACTTGACTCGTGTTCGAGAATTTGTGCAACCAACCCAAAAACGTCCGATTCCCAGAAAAAGAAAATCTAAAAATGTTGTCGCTGAAGGGAGCGAGGAGGAAGTGAAAGAGGTTGTTGGGCAGCTGGAGGCTGTGACTGCTGTGAGTGCGAATGAGTGTGGTAGTGGTAGCTTCTCGCGTTCTGTTACGGGTGATAAGATTACGGATAGCCATCCGTCCATACTAGACCGCCTTTGCTCAGACGGTGATGATGCGAAGTCTCCCTCGTATCGTGACGAGACTTCTGGTCCAGACGAGACTAGTGTGGGAGACAACGTGGTACAGCGGACCGGTGGTGGTGGCGGGGACGCAGAGCGGCCGACGTTCTTCCCCTCCTCCTCCTTGTCCTTCACCTCTAGTCTTGCAGCAATGGCCGCCAGCAGGGCTCGCCTCCTGCAGAATACCTCCAACGAAGAAACTTTTGGAGATTCTTCCTCTGAGGAAGATCTGAGCTGACGACCACATGTCAGTAGAACCTGCTGTAACAGCCATCTCTCGTAGACAATCATTTGAGAGGCATCGTGGTGAAATCCGGCGCTCGTCAAAACAATGAAGTCAAAGGAACTGGCTTTTTTTCTTTTTTTTTCTGGCTTTCGGACAAATTTTTATAATTTAGTTTTTTGGCTCAACGCCTTTTCTTTCCATTTAAAAACACATTTGCGTGTTCATTTTACTGAAAAACGTTGATTAAAGGTACGAAAACTAAATTTTCAGTTTTCAAGGACTCTCAAGCTATTAGAATTACCAAACTTTGGCGGTTATTTTCTCGCTAATTTTACCGCTGAAAGAAGGCGACCTCCACCTCTTTCAAGCGCAAATATCCTGACTTCTATTCAACATAGACTGATATTTCACCCAAAGCAAGACAAATGAACAGGCTTTAAAATGATACAAATAACCCTAGATCTATATGCCCCACATCTGAGGAGCCCCTGATTCCAGCATGCCGTGACACATTTGTTTTAATGACCCCTTCCCACTCCTCAATCCCTCCCCCCCCCCCTCTTATCAGCCACCTGTCATAAACAATCGTTTGTATTAATGACGTCTTCTCACTCCTCAATCCCCCCCCCCCCCCCCCCCTCCCCTCCCTCTTAACAGCCACCTGTCATAAACAATCGTTTGTATTAATGACGTCTTTCCCACTCCTCAATTCCCCTCCTCCTCCCCCCCTCCCTCTTAACAGCCACCTGTCATAAACAATCGTTTGTATTAATGACGTCTTTCCCACTCCTCAATTCCCCTCCTTCTCCCCACCTCCATATTGTGGCCACCTAGGACAATTTCCATTGTTTCTGTTTGCAATACGACTTTGGTCGTTGCTCTGGGTTTGTGGGTGGCTGGCGGGTGCTCTGGTGTGGTTTGCTCCTTCTTTCCTATCGAACATCTATCTTCCTTATCTCCCCTCCTTCTTTTTTATGCTTGTTACTCTCTTGCAACACTTCGAATCTTCGGCACTTATACATGGCCTTATTGTGTTGCAAGTGGCTTAAAACACTTACGAAAACTAAAAAAGCTCTGGGTTTTTCGTTCTACGAGATTGTTATTGTTGATGAGTGTGGAGTCCAGCCACACTGTCATGTTGTGGACTTGAAAAGAATCGGTCCCCGCGGTTTTATGCAAAAAAAATTCTGAAATTGTGCAAACTGAGCCCAAAAATGTGAAATTATGCGATTCTGTCAATTTTAATAAAGAATGATAAAGGAAAATAATCAGAAATTATGCAAAAAATGATCAAATTTTGCTAAATTATGCGGGGTGCATAAAACCACGGGGACAGAAAAATGCACGGGTTCTGGATTCTAATCCGATTTGGGTCTCAATTTTTCAGGGGTTTTTTCCCCCCCAAAGTGTTTAACCCCATGTTCCTAATCTCTTGATGGGGTGCAGAGTGCAAAGTTCATACAAAATGACCTGAACTGTATCCTGTAGAGATTTGAACTTCACTTTGAGAACAAAACATTGTAGCACTCATATATAGACTTTATTTATTAGGCCTATGTATATATATCGTGTATGAGGATAAGTTTTTTTGTTTTTTGATGAAGTTATTTGTTTTATACCTCAATTGGCACTGTTTAGGTTTGTGTGTGGTTGGCGGGTGCTCTGGCGTGGTTTGCTCCTTCTTTCCTATCCTAAATCTATCGTCCTTATCTCTCCTCCATCTTTTTCGTGTATGTTACTCTCTTGTAACACATCTGTTCTTTTGCACTTATTTGACCTTATTGTGTAGCAAGTGCCGTAAAACTCTTACTACAAGATTCACGGAAATGGGTGTACAGAAAAGTATGAAGACATGGAGTGACATCAAGCCCAGGATAGGGAAAGGTGGAAAGTGTTTGTCTGTGGCCTATATCCTGATCCAGTGTGAGAAAGTGTTTGTCTGTGGCCTATATACCCTGATCCAGGGTGAGAAAGTGTTTGTCCGTGGCCTATACCCTGATCCAGGGTGAGAAAGTGTTTGTCCGTGGCCTATACCCTGATCCAGGGTGAGAAAGTGTTTGTCCGTGGCCTATACCCTGATCCAGGGTGAGAAAGTGTTTGTCTGTGGCCTATATCCTGATCCAGGGTGAGAAAGTGTTTGTCCGTGGCCTATATCCTGATCCAGGGTGAGAAAGGCAATGATGATGATGATGAAACCCTTAAAGTTAAAAAGAAAAATAATTTTTAATTTTTGTTTAGGTTATTAAATACTTATGTCCATAGGTCGGATGCCAGTTGCAAATCAGCGCTCCAGCATTAACATTTAATGACTTAATGTAGAGTCAACCCTGCTCGACTAATGGCCACCTGTGCAAGACAATCACCAGTGGGTGGTTGGCGGGTGCTCTGGTGTGGTTTTCTTCTTCTTTACTATCAAACACCATCGTTCTTATCTCCCCTCCTTTTTTATGTTTGTTACTCTCTTGTAACACCTCTAATCTTCTGGCGCTCATATGACCTTATTCAGTTGCGAGCGCCATAAAACCTTTTAAAACTAACTGAGACAATTATCTCTCTATAGAAACGACCACTTGCCTCTCACCTGCTCGCATAATTGGTCCCTTTAACTTTAAGCACAAGGGGGCTATCCCGAAAAATGCTGTTTTGAGAAAATCGAAGGTAAAATTTTTGCCCCTTATTCATTTTCTTTAAAAAAAGACAAGGAGAGTTTCCTCTATGACCAAACAAAAATACACACCAATGAAACCAAACTTCTATAGGTACCGTAGGCCAATGCCCGCTTTTGGTGTAGGTCAAGGTTTTTGGAAAACCCCGAAATCTGGGTTAGCCCGCTTGTCCTTAAAGGCCTGTCCCCGTCGTTTTAGGAAAAAAAAAATTCTGAAATTATGCAAACTGAGCCCAAAAATGTGAAATTATGCGATTCTGATAATTTTGACAAAGAATGTTAAAGTAAAATAATCAGAAATTATGCAAAAAATGATCAAATTTGGCTAAATTATGCGGAGTGCATGAAACCAAGGGGCAGAAAAACGACCAATTTATCATAATGTCACTGTCCAAAACGTCCACCTGTCCAAGACAATAACATTTTCCCTCTATGGTGGGTGGCCGACTTGTCTGTCCTCAGGGTTTTATACACCCCACATAATTTAGCCAAATTTGATAATTTTTTTGCATGATTTCTGATTATTTTCCTTTATCATTCTTTTAGTTTAGTATAGGGTTTTACGGCGCTCGCAACTGCGCAAGGTTGTATGAGCGCGCTATCATTCTTTGTTAGAATTGACAGAATCGCATAATTTCACATTTTCGGGCTCAGTTTGTATAATTTCAGAATTTTTCTTGCATAAAACGACGGGGGACAAACTTGTGCAATTTCATCTGTTATTTATCTCTCTGTGTCCGTGGAGGTTCCCAAACCTGCCACCCACCCATCACCCATCTCCCCCCCACCTCTCCTCAATGATGGTGGCCATGCCCAATGAACAAAGCCTTCAGGGTGTGAAGGAGTGGTCATAATTACCACGCATAACTAGTTTTTTTATCATGAAAAACTTGTGGTATGTGCTAAAACTGCTGAATTAGCTAGAGGAAGCTCATGGTAAAAATGCTTGGTTGTGTGTGTTGCTTTTTGAAGAGAGGGAAAGTGAATGGCCTACATTCTCTGCTGAGCGAGCAAGTTACAATAGTTACATGTGCCAGGTGTTCATTCGTTCATGATGTCTTTCTGTTAGGTGTTTAAAATATTCACAACAGAGCGATTGTTCATGAATGTTAACCCTATCCGTACGTCATGTTTTACTATCGTATCCATATGTCATGGGGAACTCTGTGCCACCACTTTCCAAAGAGGAAATTTACCCGTTAATCCGACCCGTTGCATAGCAGTCTGTCAAAACGATTTTTTTTTTTTTTAGAAATACAGAAAGTTTTAAAGAGATCTTCGTACAAGAACTAGAAGTATTCTAACATGTGAAGAATACAACCCCGGGGATACAAAATGAACCCAGGGCGTACGGATAGGGTTAAAATATTCACAACAGAGCGATTGTTCGTGAATGTTAATTTGACACAGCTGAAGTGTGCGAGCAGCTTTTGTTTTGTCAGTGTGAGGCAAACACCCTCCACCCCCCCTCCCCAACCTGTTTCAGATCTGGCGGCACTCCGTGACGATGATGGATGGTCTGAAAGATCTGTGACGTTGTTTCTGTTATTTCTGTTTTGTTAATTATTAATGCCACACCTGTGAACACTGAATGACCTATATGTACTATTTACCAGTGCAATAAAAATACAATGCCATAGAGATCCATTCTTAATTATATATATTTTTTTTCTTTCTTGGTAAGTGGGTGGTTGGCGGGTGCTCTGGTGTGGTTTGCTCCTTCTTTCCTATCAAACATGATCTATTGTCTTTATCTCCCCTCCTTCTTTTTTGTGTTTGTTGCTCTCTTGTAACACTTCTAATCTTCGGCACTTATATGACCTTATTGTGTTGCAAGTGCCGTAAAACTACAAAAAAAACCCCTGAAGTCTCATGGTAACCCCCCCCCCCCAAAAAAAAAAGTTAAAAAATTAAAAAAGGACAAGCGAACACCTTAACCTCTAGGCCACGAGAGTCCCCCTTTTACTTTTGTGCTGTCAGACATTATGCATGGAAGGGTTCTGTTGCAGACAGCAACAGTCAGAAATGGAAAAGCAAACAATGGAGATAGCAGGGAAAAAGAAGAATAATGAAACAAAGATAGAAGGGGGCTCTCGTGGCCTACTGGTTAAAGTGTTTGCCTCTCATTCAAAGGTCCCGGGTTCGAATCCGGGTAGCGACGGGAAAATTTTTTTTCTCTAAAAATGTCTCATTTCACCCCCTTTCCTGCTCTTTAGCAGTGTTTTATCGTTTGCTTTCGTCTCCACTTTCTACCCCCACCCCCTCAACTCCTTTGCCCCCTCCTCTGGGCTCCTGACTCTTTCTGCAGTCTTTCTACCGCTACTCCTTGGCTCCTTCTTACTGCTGTCTTTCAGCCACACCTCAGATCTTCTCGGACAAGGGCGAAAAATCTCGGAGGGCCCGTGTGCAAGTTGCACACGTTAAAGATCCCTTGGTGGTCTAAAATCGATAAGAGTAGGCTTAGGCCGCCACCTGGGCAAAATTCAAAATTTCATACCAACTGAAAAAGTTTAATGTGTCCCGCGCGCTCATATGACCCTATGCAGTTGCGAGCGCCGTAAAACACTAACAAAAACATATTTAAAAAATTGAAAATGGATCAAGAGGAGAAAACACTACTTCCTTTGAGAATGTACACAACATTTCTGTCCCCGCCGTTTTATGCAAAAACATTGTGAAGTTATGCAAACTGAGCCAAAAGGTGAGAAATTATGCGATTCTGTTAATTTTAACAAAGAATGTAAAGGAAAATAATCATAAATTATGCAAAAAATAATTACATTTTGCTAAATTATGCAGGGTGCATAAAACGGCGGGGACAGAAAAAGGCTCCCCGTGCCTCGCTCCTCGAGGAGACCTAGACTCAACTGTCAGTGTCAGTAACTGTCAGTCACACACCAGACATTTTCCCCAAACAAAACAGCAAAAACCTGTTGGACAAACATTATATCCTGTTGGTTAGGTAGATCTTACGATCATCATCCGGTACCTTGCCGTCTGGCGTGGGCGATCATGGACCTCCACTTCACTCTGTCTCGCGTTGCAGCAATGGTGTCTGTTGTTCTTGCTGCTCCCAGCCATGTTGTCATCTTGTTCAGTATCTTTTCCCCCTGTCTGCCTCTGCATCTCTTTCCATCAAACTTGCCGGTTGTTAAAATATTCTCAGTATGCTTCTTTCTGCATTCTGTGTCCAAAGAAATTATCGGTAGATCTAGATCTAGCTTTCCTGTTTGTTTGTTTGTTTGTTTAGTATAGGGTTTTACGGCGCTCGCAACTGCATAAGGTCATATGAGCGCGCGGGACACACCTAATACTTTTTCGTTGGTAGAAAATTTTGAATTTTGCCCGGGTGGCGGCCGAAGCCTACTCTTATCGATTTTAGACCACCAAGGGATCTTTAACGTGTGCAACTTGCACACGGGCCCTCCGAGATTTTTCGCCCTTGTCCGAGAAGGCTAGGTGTAGATCTTTCCTACCAGAAGATCAGGGGTGTGCCAGAAAGACAGCAGTTAGGAGGAGCCAAGGAGTAGCAGTAGAAAGGCTGCAGAAAGAGTCAGGAGCCCAGAGGAGGGGGCAAAGGAGATGAGGGGGTGGGGCAGAAAGTGGAAATGAAAGCAGACAACAGAACATTGTTAGAGATCAGGAAAGGATGTGAAAGGAGACAATTTTAGAGAAGAAAATTTTTTGGTGGCTACCCGGAATCGAACCCGGGACCTTTGAATGAGAGGCCAACACCTTAACCTCTAGGCCACGAGAGCCCCCTCTAGCTTTCTTAAATTAGTTTACAGTACATGTAACAAAACGTGTGTTGACCAAGTCTGATACAAATCTGGTTTTATTTAACACTGGAATGGGACATGTGAACATTTATGGTTCGTTTTGTTCGTTGTTTATTCTTATATATTTATTTATATTTCTTTTTGGTGGAGGGACCAATCAAAAAGTAGGTCGGCAGTAAAGTAGAGAACAGAACAAAACGAAAAGTAAGAAAATCATCAACAGCAGAAATGGAAGGAACTTTACAAATTTACAACAAAGCGGAGAATTTGAGTCTTCAAGTGGACTGCTTTGTGATAGACTCCGCCATACGCCATTCAGAATACATGTACTGACATAATATTAATAATAAAATAAATTAAATGGCATTTATATAGCGCATATCCTCGCTCGACAGCAAACTCTATGCGCTTTGCACACTAATTATTATTATTATTATTATTATTATTATTATTATTATTATTATTATTATTATTATTACCCCAACAGACCATAGAACACTCAGAAACATTCTCAGCTTCCTGGGAAGCATACAGTGCAAGCAGATGAAAAGTGCTCATACACTAACAAACTGACAAGATCTTTCACTGTCTATGGCCGGGTACCCATTCCCACCTGGGTGAAGTGAGGGAAAATTCGTGTAAAGTGCCTTTCCCAAGGACACAATGTCGAGCCCCTGGCGGAATTCGAACCCACGACCTTACGGTTGCGAGTCTGGGAGCTTAAATTTATTATGAATTATTACGAGAGAATCTTTTACTGAGCTGTCAGAATAAGCTAAATAGAAGTACGACTGGTATAGTTACCAATATTTCAACTGCATACATGTAATATAATAATAATAATAATAATAATAATAATAATAATAATAATAATAATAATAGTTTACAGAAAACGAAAGAATGTTTAATGTGTAATGTTAGGGTGAAGTTGTGTACATCTGGGGAAAAGGCTCTCAGGTGGCGCTGCACAGTCACAGAAACAGTTTTAGTTTTAGTTGAGGTTTTACGGCGCTCGCAACTGCATAAGGACATATGAGCGCCAGAAGATTAGAGGTGTTACAAGAGTAACAAACATAAAAAAAGAAGAAGGGGGTATAAAGACGATAGAGGTTTCATAGGAAAGAAGAAGCAAACCACACCGGAGCATCCGCCAACCACCCATGCACAGAAACAGAAGGAGCTTGAGGCCCTTTTCTGAAGTTACACAGAAGGTAAAACAAAGACGGATGGAAAGAGGGAAAATCAACAAAATCAACATAATTATTTAAATGATGCTTAAAAAAAAAGCATTCTTGACTAACCGAAACCCTAACACCCGATAGTAGTTGGTCTCTAAAAAAATAACCAAGGACCCAATAACGTGGCCACCTTTGCATCTTTGTTTTTTAATACAAACAATTTGACTGGTTTTACAGAATTTGCTGAAATCTGCGTTTTACTCCGTTTTCGTTGAAATCAAAAGTAAAAAAGAACTATTCTCAAATACATTGGTGGATGATTTTCTGTCTCTTGGCTAAACTTTCTTTGTTCAAAGTTTTTTTTGGAGATTGTAATGCAAAGACGACCGAGCGAACTGTCCAGTAAATGGCTCCTTTAAAACATTGTAAACAGAAAACCTGTATAATAAATACAGTACATGACAACGTGAGACAACAAATCAAATACAAATACAATAACTACAACGGATAGTAGACACTTACAGACCTCTATCAACTGAATAAATTGTAAAGAGATAAAAGCTCAAACATGACAGGCCTACTGAATAATACAAATTAAAAAAAAACACACCCGAAAATCCCCCCCCCCCCAAAAAAAAAAAAAAAAAAAAATTAAAAAATCCACACTCACACCCAAAATTGCTAATTTTAAATTTAAGGCCTTTCGTACATATTACAATAGAATAAGTACATAATAATATTATCAAATGCGATCGAAGTGCACACAAATAAAACAAAGAGAAAATTAAACGGAATCAAAATCCGCGACAAACAAATGGACTGCCTCAAAGTCTCATTTATGTAAGGCGGGCTGACCTGTATATTAATTATGAATATAATTGTTCTCTATAGTGCATTCAAAAATTCGTGGCGTAACTTATCCTCAAATATCTTTTTAACTGCTGAATCATTGTCATCCATACTTTGCACCGCAGCTTGTATTAATTTGTCTTACCTTAATCATATTTTCCACAACGATAGAGGCTACATTAAAAAAAAAAAAAAAAAAAAAAAAAATTTATATAAAATACTGCAAATCTCTATACGCGGAGAATGGAAATGTTCACAGCACTTCCCGATTCTCACGCACATTTTGCTTACGCATATGCCCTACGTCACAGCTTACCTATAACCCTTTTTAAGGGGCAAAACCAGTTTCAAGAAATTAATTTTGTAGTGCACACTTTTTGCACTAAAAGTTCCCAAAACATGCGTTCAATAAAGATAATCTCGCGATTAGAAAAAAAATGACAGACTTGCTTTTAAAAGCGATATTGTCCCAGCTGTAAACCTTTTAAAATCAGTAGAAACCACCTGCTGGGATTTTTTGTTAGTATTTATTAAGAAATCTGATAGAATAGAGCTAACAGGTGTTTATAAAAAACATTGATCTGTAAAGACAAATTGATACAAATCACTGTGCTAAAGCTGGAGAAATTATGTTTGATAGTTGAGGAGATATTTGGCAATAAGTCGCGCCACAAATTTTTGACCGCTCTATAGTAAAGGCAGACAGAGATGAGCAGCAAAGAAGTAAGAAAGAATTTTCGACTGGATCAACAAGGACAATTTCTGAACTTTTGATGGTACAATAAATGTTTTCATCTGTGGTTCAAATGAGGCCCAAATGAAATCCGAAC